GGGGACTTGGGGTGTCCAGCTGGAGCAGGGAGAGTCACGGTGGGGATGGGTTTGGAGCCAATCCCAAGCCATGCACGGGCCCTGCAGAGCAGCAGGGTCGGAGCCTCCCTGGCTGCAGCTCCGTGGAGGGAGATGCCGGTGCTGAAGCTCAATAAATCCACCTGGATTGCCCAGTCCCGACCCCTCTGCCCTCACCTAGAAATTATTGCCTTCATTGATTTTGGAAAGACTGTACACGGAATTAAAAGATTTTTGGCAGGAACCTACCTCTGAGCGCCCCGTAACGACAGTGTGAAAATGGAGAAAAACATAAGATGAAGTGAAATGGCACAAACTCAAAAAACACGACGGGAAATCAACGGAAAAGAAAACAAAAGCTGCGCCCTAAAGAGCTGCGGGGAGACAGAGGGACCCGGTGGGCACTGCGGGGTGGGAGAGGGTCCGGCAGCAGACCCTGGTGCCACCCCATGGACAGCCTGAACCCCTCTGGAGGGACAGAGCCACAGTGGAGCCCTGGAAATGGTCCTGTCCATTGTCCACTTGTGTCCCTTGGTCACTCAGAGGTGCTGGCACACGAGCAGCAGCTCAGGAATGGGCAGCACTGGACTCTGTCCTGGCTCTGGGGGTCAGCCCAGAGCCCGGGGGTGTGACCCGGGTCCCTCCTGGGTGTCCCCACTGCCATCCCAAGTGCCACTGCCAGGCATGGGGTGACACTTGGTGATGCTTGGTGRCAAAGGTGCCCTCRGGTGGCTACGGCCATGCTGRAGGGTGTTGGGGTCACCCCTTCCCTGTCACCCATCACCCTTGGGATGAACCCCTGGAGTCAGAGCTGTCCTGGCCAGGGGACACGGTGGCTCTCCCGGCCACCAGCCTGACACTGCCCCCATTGCTGGCAGCAGGAGAGGGGCTGGGGGGGGCTCAAAGTTCTCCTTTGTCCCCTCCCCACTGCAGGGACAGCAAAGGCTCGGGGGTGGCACGTACTGCAGCTCTCCTCGTCCGAGTTGTCCCCGCAGTCGTTGTCGTAGTCGCACTGCCAGCGGCCCGGCACGCAGCGGTTGTTCTTGCAGCGGAACTGGTACGGCTCACAGGTGCGTTCGTCTGGGGGGACAGTGGGGACAGGGACAGGGACAGGGTCAGCAGTGCCCCAAATGAGGGGAGGGACAGCTGGGACAGGGTCAGGGTCAGCAGTGCCCCAAATGAGGGGAGGGACAGGGTCAGCAGTGCCCCAAATGAGGGAAGGGACAGCTGGGACAGGGACAGGGACAGGGACAGGAATGGGGACAGGGATAGGGTCAGGGTCAGCAGTGCCCAAAACTAGGGGAGGGACAGGGACAGAGACAGGGACAAGAACGGAGACAGAGACAGGGTCAGGGTCAGCAGTGCCCCAAATGAGGGGAGGGACAGGGACAGGGACAGGGTCAGCAGAGCCCCAAACAGGGGAGGGACAGCTGGGACAGGGACAGGGACAGGGACAGGGACAGCAGTGCCCCAAACGAGGGGAGGGACACCAGGGACAGGGACAGGAACGGGGACAGGGATAGGGTCAGGGTCAGTAGAACCCCAAACAAGGGGAGGGACAGGGACAGGGACAGGAACAGGAACAGGGACAGGGTCAGGGTCAGCAGAGCCCTAAACGAGGGGAGGGACAGGGACAAGGACAGGGACAGGGACAGGGTCAGCAGTGACCCAAACGAGGGGAGGGACAGGGACAGGGTCACAAGTGCCACAAATGAGGGGAGGGACAGCTGGGACAGGGTCAGCAGTGCCCCGAGCGAGGCAAGGGACACAACAGGGACAGGGACAGGGGTCAGTACTGTCCTGAACCAGAGGAAATATGGGACAGGGACAGGTGTGAGCATCACACTGCATAAGGGGACAGGATGGGGACAGGGACAGGGGTCAGCAGAGCCCAGGACAAGGGAAGGGACACAGCAGGGACAAGGACAGGGGTCAGTACTGCCCTGCACCAGGGGAGGGACAGGGACAGGGGTCAGCACTGCCCAAAACAAGGGGAAGGACAGCAGGGACAGGGACAGGGACAGGGACAGGGACAGGGACAGGGACAGGGACAGGGTCAGCAGTGCCCAAAATAAGGCGAGTGACACGACAAGGACAGGTACAGGGGTCAGCACTGCCCTGCACCTCCCTCTGACCCATCCCTGCCCACAGCACTCGGAAAAGGAGCAGCTGCAACTCTTGGGGCACCCCAGAGGACACAGCCAGCGCCAGGCCAGCCTGTCCCTCAGGGAAATGGTGACACGAGGTGACACTGGCTTGTCCCCACGGCCGCTGCTCACCGCATTCCTCCTTGGGCTCGTCAGATCCGTCCCCACAGTCGTCCTCCCCGTCACACTTCCAGCGCGCCGGGATGCACCGGCCCGAGTCCTTGCACCGGAATTCGTCCACGCCGCAGGTCATTTGGGCTGGAGGGGACAAAAGGGACACAGATGCAGGGCAGGGGTCAGCGCTGGCT